CTGACTCGACAGTATCGGGTTTGAGTTTTACCTTTTAGCGTGTTCTATAATATCTGTGAAGTCTAGGGGGGCTTGAAAGTGCGGAGCCTGTATCCCTGCCTGGTCATTTTAGAACTGAGGGAGTCTGGGGGCCAACTTTGGAAGTGTCTCCGAGCCTCAGTTTCTTCATCTATAAAATGGGAGTGATTGTGTCTCTGTCCTGCCTCTCTCCCAGGGGCTCTGTAAACATAACAGCTGTGCACACAGTCACTAAGTGAGGGTGCAGCCAGATGGGCTCGGGAGCCGTGCAGGAGGCCTGGGCTCCTAGGCGCTTGGTCTCCCCGGCTCTGCGGGGTTCCTGGAGGTAGGGAACAGAGAGGACTAGGACCATCAGGTCCTGCCCAGGCCCAGGGGTGCAGGGGTGGCTGTTCAGAGGCCCCAGTAGTGAGGTGACTCCTCCCCGCAGTGTCCCCCTACCTCAAGAGCCTGTCCATGGTGGCCGCCAACAAGCTGCTGCACCTGCTGGAGGCCTTCTCCACCACCTGGTTCCTCTTCTCTGCCGCCCAGAACCACCACCTGGTCTTCTTCCTCTTGGAGGTCTTCAACAATATCATCCAGTACCAGTTTGATGGTGAGGGTCTCTCCCCGGTCCCTGCCGACTCCCGCCCTGTCTCTCCCCCGCCCCCGACAGACACCCACCTGTCCCCCAGACTTCCCCTCCACTGCCTGACCAGGTAGGGGCACGGACAAGGGGCCTCCCTGAGTTGGGGTGTCCTCCCCTCGCCCCCCACACAGGTAACTCCAACCTGGTCTACGCCATCATCCGAAAGCGCAGTGTCTTCCACCAACTGGCCAACCTGCCCACGGACCCGCCCACCATCCACAAGGCTCTGCAGAGGCGCCGGCGGGCCCCTGAGCCCCTGTCCCGCACGGGCTCCCAGGAGGGCGCGTCCATGGAGGGCTCCCGCCCTGCCGCCCCCGCCGAGCCTGGCACCCTCAAGACTAGCCTGGTGGCCACCCCAGGTCTGTACCCTGTGGGAGGGTGGGGACAGGCATGGGTACTAGCGTGGTTGGGATGCCGAGTAGGGTAGAGGTCCTGGGGAGCCCTGCTGTTGGGGCCCAGAGAGTGACTTGGTGGGGGATCTGATTCTGTGTGGGGTGGGGACAGAGCTGGGGCTGGGACACTGGGATGGCACCTGCCAGTCAGTGAGTTTCTAGGGGAGCAAGGCCCGGCGGGGGGAAGCTTTCTGGGGGCCCTGGAAACACTCCCTCCTGTGCCCCAGGCATTGATAAGCTGACGGAGAAGTCTCAGGTGTCCGAGGATGGCACCCTGCGGTCACTGGAGCCAGACCCTCAGCAGAGCTCAGCGGAGGACGGCCCTACCGAGGAGGTGGGCGACGGGGAGTCCTGGAGTGGAGTAAGCCAGGGGTCCTCTTCAGCCCTGGGGTGGAGGGGCGGCGCCCAGCATGGGGGGGAGGGGAGGAAGTGGCCATCAGAAACCCTCTCCTGGGGGCAGGGAGTGTGTGCAGCCTCCTCCCTCATTTCCTGAGCTCATGCCCTTGACCTTCACACTCCACGTCCATCCACCTTATCTGCAGGTGGTGGCCTTTACCCAGCTGCCTATCAGGCCCTAAACCTGTCACAAGCTGCAGGAGACCTGCTGGGGCTGGAGCCTGGGGCAAAGGGTGCTGGGCTGGGGCTCCCCTCCTCCCCACAGGCCAAGGTGGGGCTGGCAGAGGGGTGCTTCAGTGTCCCCACTACCCTGCACCCCCTTCCTCCACTCCTCACATCCTCTTCCTTCCTGAGTCCAGGAGTCTGGCCAGGCGTGGCGGGAACAGCGACGACTGTCCAGTGCGTCTGCCAGTGGGCAGTGGACCCCCACATCGGAGTGGGTGAGGGACTGGGCTGGGCAGACGGCAGCGGGGTGAGAGCCGGTCCAGGGACTCTGGGCCTCCACTCGGGCTCAGCAAACTCAGGGGGGATGCGTCTGAATCATGAGCACGGGCTCAGTGGTCACTCCCTCTGGCCAGCTGATGGTAGCCCCTCTCTGCTTCCTGTCCACACTCTCCCAGGGCCACCAGAAGGGCTAAGCACTTCACAAATTTGCAAACAGCTTACCCACCCTGACTTCTTCCTCCGAGTCACACCCTCACCCTGTGGGCACCCAGGGGCCGTCGTGAGGGTCCCTCGCAGCCAGCCCAGTGTGGCCACCAGTCACAGCCTGTGTGACGTACACGCTGTGGATCTCACTGTTATTAGTGCTCACTTTTCCCAGGAGTGCGTAGGAACTCTGGCTGCCAACCAAAAGATTGGCAGTTCGCATCCTCCCAACGTTCTTTGAGAGAAAGTCTCCTCCAATGAGGGTTTGTGGTCTCCGAACCCCACGGTGGGTCACCCCACAGGGGGTCACTGGGAGTTAGAGTCCATAAAGTGGGTTTTGGCTCCTGGCCCCACCTGGCCCAGCCCATGCAGCCATGAGCAGGACACGTTTGGCCCTGAGGTGTGGTTCCGGGTCAGGGGTCAGGACTGAGCCCTCCCCCCCCCACAGGTGCTCTCCTGGAAGTCCAAGCTGCCGCTGCAGACCATCATGCGGTTGCTGCAGGTGCTGGTCCCACAGGTGGAGAAGATCTGCATTGACAAGTGAGGCCGGGTGGAAGCTGCAGCCAGGCTGCCCCTCTAGACCTGCCCTGGGGGCCGGAGCAGGCTGGACGTCGCCCCACCTGACCCCACCCCTTCCCTGCAGGGGCCTGACGGATGAGTCGGAAATCCTGCGCTTCCTGCAGCATGGGACGCTGGTGGGGCTGCTGCCGGTGCCCCACCCCATTCTCATCCGCAAGTACCAGGCCAACTCGGGCACAGCCATGTGGTTCCGAACCTACATGTGGGGCGTCATTTACCTGAGGTGGGTCCCTCCCTGGGGTAAGGTAGTCAGTCCCACAGGAAATGGTCCGGGCTTCACCCTGGGGGCTGCCTTGTGGGAACCTTGGCTGTGGGTGGGTGTGTGTGGGGGTGTGGGGGGGTTTCCCGGGGGGGTTTCCCACCCATAGAGGGTGACCCAGTGGTCTTGTCTGGTTGTGGGCAGCGGAACATGAGGGGTGGGAGGGGTTGGACTGTGCTGATGTCCCGCTCATTAGTGACAGCTCCTCCTTCCCCAGGAACGTGGACCCCCCAGTCTGGTACGACACCAACGTGAAGCTGTTTGAGATCCAGCGGGTGTGAAGATGGGGACCCAGGGCCCCCATGGTCCCCTACAATGTTCTTAGCTTTAAATGACCATGATCAGGGCAGGATATAGCAGGCCCTGGGGGAGTCCATTGTGTTGGGGGATGGTGGGGACTGGCCCTGACCACCCCCTGGCTCATCTTACAGGAGCCCCCACCCCAAGGCTGCAGGGACCCCCACTCTGCCTCCTCTAGACCCCTCCTGTGCTGCCTACCCTGGAGGCCAGGAGGTCACTGTGTCCTCATGGGGTTGTCCCAGAGGGGACATCAGATTGTCCTTTGTGGCACCTTGCTGGGTTAAGGGGATCCCAAGCCTCCAGACCTGAACCCCATTCATGCCATGCTGCCAGGAGGCCACCAAAGCCAGGCCTGGGGGACCCCATGGATATTAGGGGTTTGTGTCAGGTATTGGGGGGCCCCTGCTCTGTTCTCCAGGGTCAGAGGACATAGCCTAGCTCCCTCTAACTCACTCCTGGGGTCAAGGGGACAGGGGGAGCCAGCTCATCCTCCTACCTTGTCCCCCTACATGGGACTGAGAGGAAGGGGACCCCCCAATTCTCAGCCAGCTCCCCTCTGGGCTCTGGGGATCCCTCCCCACTGTGTCAGTACAATCTTTGCTCTGTACAATCGGCCCCTTTCCACAATAAAATCACCCCTCCACTGACTGTCTCCGTGCTTAGTGGGCAGGGGCACCCATGATACTTGTCTGGGTTTGGACAGACACGTTTTGGGGTGAGACAGCAGAGGAGGGGGCCCTTCTTGGGGAAGGAAGAGCCTGTCTCCCAGCTCCCCACGTGGGTCCCAGCAGCCACCGAGACAGCCTTGGGGGCCCTGCAGTGTTTACAGTGTCCAGCCTCCAAGGGAGGGAAGGGTGAGGCTGTCCTCCAGGGTCCTGGGCTGCCCTGCCCGGATCAGCCGTGTTTGCACTGGGCCCAGGAAGATGGACGAGCTGTCAGGGTGGCTCGCCTCCCTCCCCTTCCTGCTCCACCCGGGCTCATGGACTGCCAGGCCTGGGACCCAGCAGCAGAGGCCACAGCCTCCAGAGGGCTAGCTGCACAGAGCTGACACAGGTCTGTCCCAGGAGAGGCTGTGGCGGCCAGGGGTGAGGGGACTCGAGACCCTACCAGGGCTCTTCCTGTCTCCCCCATGGACCAGACAAGGCGGGAAGAAGCTGCCCTGTCCCGGCTGTGCAGCCCTGCCCAGCCGGCCCAGCCCTTCCCACCATACCAGGCCCGGCAACTCCGTCCCTGGGAACAAATGCCATGAAGCCGGCGTGTAATCGATCAAACAAACATGGTTTATGGCAGCAAGAGAGAGCTGTTGAACCCTGCCTGGCAGCTAATTAATGAGCTCATTAGGGGACAGAGCAGGGGAGGGGAGGGCAAGGCATCAGAAGAATGGGTCCCTGACAGCCTGGGCTGCCTCTCCCTCTGACAGCAGGAAGTAGATCTGGACCCCAGGAAGGGGAGGGGTGCCCCTCACTAAACTCCGCAGACTTGGCCACTGAGGTCTGACCCTCACAGAGAATAGCTGTGGGCCCCCACCAGCTTCCTGGGGTGCTGATTATGGAGGTGAGGCAGGTGGCATGCCCTTGCCAGGCCCAGGCATCAAGGTCTAGGCTCTGTCCTTGATTTTGGGGCCCAGACAATTCCCTCCTCTCTCAGGGAGGCTCTGGGGAGCCCAGCCTGTCTCTGCCCCTCCTGGAATGGGGTGTCTGCTCAGAGACCCAGGGCCACTTGTCTGGACACTTCGAGTTCTGCCAGGATGTCTGTCCAGGACTCCTGGGGTGGGGATTCAGGCTCAGGCCCCCAGGTAGACCTCCACCAGCCCTCCAACAGAGTGCATTCGGTAGAAGACACCCAGAGGCAGGCCAAAGTTGACGATGGTAAACCAGGCCCGGTAGCCATAGAAGTCCTTCTCCAGTCCATTCTCAAACTCGGGGTGCATGCCAAATGCCGGCATCATCCACAGCTGGGGGAAGAGGGGGTCCTGTGAGGAGGGGGCTCCCTGGTGCTATACACCCCGCTCTCAGCCCAGGGGACTGGGCCCCCAGAATGCACAGCTGCTGCCTATCCCTATCCACCACCCCTTAATCCACAAGCTTTCAGCGGGGGCTGCCCTGCCCCCAGCCCCCCTTCATGTACGAAGATGCCTCAGCTGCCCAGCGGCCAGCCTGGCCTCCTGATGAGGAGACCGCAGCTGCCAAACCTGCTCACGCACCCAGGCTCCTGGTGCCAGGCTCTCTGCCCGGGCCCCGGGCCGGTCCTTCCTGTCCAGATTCTCCCACTCCTGACCACCTGCAGGAAGCCTTCCTCAGACCCTCACTTCCTTCTTTGACTGCCTGTCGCCCTTACAGGAGCCTTGGTCGTGCTGTTGTTGTGCACTCCACCGGGTTTTCAGAGGCAGTAAGTCAGACTCTCCTGCAGAGCTGGTGCTGGATTTGAACCGTGTTCCTTTGGGTTAACACTACAATTCCTTACCACTATGGCTGCCAGAACTCCTTAGGTCAATCTGAAGCCCCTGTGGTTTAGCAGGTAAGATACCTGCTCTCAGAAGTTAGAGACTGAGGTTCAGAACCCTGAACTTGGTGGTGCAGCACATTCCATGTGCTGCTAGCTCAAAGGTCAACGGTTTGAATCCCCAGCTGCTCTTAGGGAGAAAGATGGCCCTTCTCCTCCCTTAAAGCCACGGGAATCTGTTGGAAGAGCTCATGTGAGCACCAGCACGATGGCAGTGGGCTGTTTGATGTCACTTAGGGCCGATTTCCTCCGCTCGGCCCAAGGCTTTCAGGATCTGAGGTGTTTCCACTCCATCCACACGGGGACAGCCAGCCCTGAGTTCCAGTCCCGGCACTGCCACTCACTGGCTGAACAACCTCCGCCTTGTCCTCTAGCTGTGACACAGACACAAAGGTACTGCCTGGTGTTACCATGAGGACAGGTGAGGTGGGGAGGGCTCAGGTGGGCCTGCGCCTGGCAGCCGGCGAGGAGAGTGAGGTGCTGAGCGATGATCACCGACAGCTTTGGTTCCGTACAATCCCAGGAGCTTTCTAATCTCTTCCACGAATCCCCTGAACTCAGCAGACTATTGGGCAATTCTTTGACTGGTCTCCAGGAGCCTTGCCGAGGAGACAGGAAGTGCCATGAAGGTGGGAACATTCTGTATTTGTAAGGTGCCTAAACTAAGTATAGCTTGTCTCTGGAAACCCTATGAATCTGGAGAAAGGACGAAAGTTATACAAGTGTCCAGGTCTTTCGTTCATAGGGTCACTATGAGTTGTCTGTGACTCGATGGCACTTAACAACAACAACAACAAACTGAGTATTCAGTATTTCCATTCACGCCAGGTCCCTGTGACTATCAAGTTAGTTAGGAAGAAGCATGTGTCCTCAACAAGAAAACTAACTCTCAGACTTCTGACGACTCAGAATGTCCCTCCAGTGAATTTCCGAGGCTTTAAATCTTGATGGGAAGAAACTGCTCATCTTTCTATCACAGATTGGCTGATGGATTCAAACCGCTCACCTTTGGATTAGCAGAGAAATAGATAATGCTCTACCCAACCATATTGTAATTGGATAATCCAGTAGCCCTTGGGGCAGCCAATGCTCAGTGTGTGCGCCTTGATCCAGCGCTACCTGACTGAGGATTTCTGGGACCATGTGCCTAGTTCCGCCCTCCGTTTCTCCTGCCTCCCCTGCACTCACCGTGATATTGCAGAGGAGAAGGAACAGCGAGATCTCTTTCAGTGCCCGCCGCTTCCAGTTGAGGTGGCTGTAAGAGTGGATGTAGGCCAGCGAGGCCCGCCGGAGGCCGTGGCCCAGCTCCAGCAGGGAGCCCCTTCGCGACGGCACAGCGTCCTGCTTGCCCGCCAGGGCCGCCTCTCCGAGCGGGCGCCGATGCAGGCCCTCGATGATGAAGAGGTTCTGGGCCATGTGCTGCAGGATCAGCAGCAGCGAGTAGGCCAGGATGAGACGGTTGAGCAGCTCGTATGAGCCCGTGGCCACGGTGGCCACGACGGAGAAGTAGGCGATGCCCACCTGGCCCAGCGCAGCGCCCATCAGCAGCACCACGTCCAGGCTGCGTGTGGGGTTCTTGAGTGTGTCTAGCTCCCGCTCCTCCAGCCCGTGGATGGCCGTGCCCGCCAGGCATGCCAGGCTCATGACGGGCAGCACAGCCACGTAGAAGGCGTAGTAGAAGGTGAAGTACTGGCGTGCGATGGCCGGGCCGCTCGCCTCGATCTGGAAGAGGACGAAGACGCACACGCCGGCCACCAGCGCCAGCGTGCCCAGCAGGGGCCCAAAGATGGCCCCGTGCAGGCGGAAGGGCGGGGGTGTGGGGTGTGGCCCAGGGTGGGGGGCCAGGCGGCGGCCCACGTTTTTCCACATGACGAAGAGCATGGCGCAGCAGATGAGGCAGTACTCGGTGCTGAAGGGGTACAGCATGAGGTAGCCCTTCTGGAAAACCTCGCACACGGTGGCGTTCAGACACAAGCAGGTGTTGGTCTCGTTGCCTGGAGAGGGCAGGGCAGGAGGGACAGGTGGTCAGCAGCTGCACCAGAGACACCCCTTCGGGAACGCGCCAGATGTGGAAGAGACCCAGCTCCTCGGTTCGCAGACGTGGAGACTGAGGCCCTGAGACAGAGGCCGTACATTGTGGGGGTACAGAGGTGCCACTCTTGCATCAAGCGCCGAAGCACGACACCCTAGATGCTCCTTACTTGCTGGGCACAGGAGGAGGTGGCTGGGCCTCAGCACTCACTGCGGGACAAGGGAACGTCCTTCTGATGCCATCGAAGCTCAGGAATGCACACTGCTGCCCAAATGGTTAACCTGTCAGAGCTCTTGCCTGCGCTTCCCGGGCTGAGGAGATGTGGGCAGTGAGGACCAAGTCCAAGTGCACGCCAAGCTGACCTGACAAACTTCAGTGTCAAGAGGGAAAAGGGGCTGGAGGAGAGCACTTTGCAATAAAAGGCTCTGGTGGCACACTGGTTAAGCTCCTGGCTGCTAACAGAAAGGTCAAGAGTTTGAACCCACCCACTGCTCCTGCAAAGATTTCCAGCCTTGGTCAGAACACCCCCTGGGGTGGTTTGATCTCTCCTGAAGTTTGCTGTGAATCAGAATGGACTGGATGGGTGTTGTGTTGGGTATTTTTTTATGATTCTTTCAGAATAAAACCAGGAGCCAGGTGGGGTTAGTGCATTATGTGTTGGACTGGCAACAGAAAAGAGAGGTGGATTTGGTTCACCTTTCCTTGGAAGAAAGAGGACACATCTCCCCACCTGGAGACTTATATGGGCAGAAACCCCATGGAGGACCGCCGGGGTCAGGACCCAGGACTGACTCGATGCAGCAGGCTTGGTTTGAGCGGTTTAAGGTGTTAGAGACCTAACTAAACTCATTGTATGCTTTTGGTGAAATCCTGGCTTGAAGAAATAGTCTAGAAAAAAAAGTAAGTTAATTTGAAAAAATCAAATTTAGACAGATGTTGGTGATATTAAGGAATTTTGTTAAAAATCATAATGTTGTTGTTATGTGCCATTGAGTCGCTAGCGACTCTATGTATAACAGCCCTAAACTATGCTCTATCCTGTGCCAAACTGTCTCTGACTCCCATCCCTATTACTCCAATTACTGAATCAATCCTCATAGAGGGCCTTCCCCTCTTGCACTGTCCCTCCACCCTACCAAGCATATGTCCCTCTCCAAGGACCTGTCCCACCTTACAACATGTCCAAAGTACGTTAGATGAAGCCCCAGAATCCTTGCCTCCAAGGAGCCGCCTGGTTTAACCCTCTCCAGGATGAATCTGTTTGTTTTCCTAGCAGTCCATGATATTCTCAATACTCTTCTCCAGCACCACAGCTCAAAGGCATCAATTCTTCTTCTATCCTCCTTGGTCATTGTCCAACTATCTGATGCAGAACAAGTGATTGCAAAGACCATGGCCTGTATCAGATGCACCTTAAGTCTCCAGAGAGACACCATTGCTCTTCAGTACTTTGGAGAGGTCCCTAACAGCAGACTTTCCAATGGCAATATGTCTTTTAATTTCCTGGCTACTGGTGCCAAGAGTGTTGACTGTGGAGCCAAGCAAACTAAAGCTGTGAACAATCTCAATCTCTTCACCATCCGATCCTGATGCTGCCACATGGTCCAGTGGTGAGAATCTTTGTCTTCTTGACATTGAGCCTCAACCCATAATAGCACAGTGATAATGCAGAAAAACAGGCAAACCCACTTAAAGAGAAACGTGCAGAACGGTTGTGGGATTACATGTTGTGATTTCTAGGATTTTTCTGTATTTCAGCAAAATAAATGAAATAAATACGATGAAACGTCGAGAATGATTCCATGCAGGTGATAAGTTGATCTTGCTCTTTTTAATTTGAATTTTTCTTAAATTGGAATTCTTTTATTGAAACATTAAAAACTTTGTATTTTTTTTTAAACCCTGTTTTCTTGGCTATGAAATTTTAGAGTTTGATTTTTATTAACAGGGCATTTTCTAGCTTGTTTTTTTTTTTAAATGAAAAATGATGTCACTGGTCAAACAGTCTATGAGCATGGCTTTTCTGGAAAAACTTATCCAGGGTATTAGGACTGTATGGTCAGCAGGTGTGCCTGGCTTTGTTCGATGGGTGTGTGGATGCATGAGTGTGCAGGGAAGGGCTGGGTGCACACAGGTTACGGTGGTGAAGCACCTGGGGATTGTATGCACACAGGTGGGGCCCAGCTCTGCCCCACATGCCTTCACTGAATATGCCTACTAAGGGGTGGACTGACCCAGCACAGGAAGGAGTGGGCATACTCCAGTCATCTCAGATTGTATGAGAAGACATACCTTTCAGTCATCAAGGCTTTTCTTCCTTGATATCACAGGTGGGGTGTATACTAAAGCACTTATCAGTGAACAGCTCAGTGGGGATTAGTGGCCAGCTAGTTGACAGTTAGATGGATGGTTGGAGAAGGTTGCAGGGTGCCAGGACCTGACAGGTTGGCACTAGATTGGGGCAGGAGGAGGGATACCCCATTAGAAAACTTCATCCAATTTTCTGGCTATGACCCAACTCAATAGATTCACAAACATATTTGAGGGAATGGAGGAACGGGGGAGAGACACACACAGAGAAAGAGAGAGAGAGACAGACAGAGACAGAGAGAGGGACAGAGACAGAGAGAGAGAAGGTGTTTGAGGATGATGGGCTTGGTCCTGGCCCCCTCTCTGTACCTGCGAACTTCTCCATGAAGGCACTGAGCTCGGCCTTGATCTCACGATGCATGGAGTCGTTGGTGACAGCCAAAACCCACAGCAGCAGGTTTGTGGCCAGGGTCAGCATCAGGCCACACCTGGAGGAGATGCCACACTCAGCCACACAGCCTGGTTGGTTCTCTGGTGCCCTGTCACACCACCAGCTGCTACTGGGGGACCATTTGTCCCTCCCAAAGCCAGATCTCATCATCAGAGCATTAGGACTTCTGGAGACGTGGAGACACGTCCTTTGGGAGCCATGCTCAGACCGATCCACCCCCTCGGGCCACTCTGGACACCATTCTAGGACTGAGCCTTGGGCAGCATCCAGGGAGACTGTGGAGGACAGACACAGGGGCAGTAGGGAGCCCCAGGAGGTTCTGGAGGGAGAGCAGCAGCCTTAGCTTACCTAGTGAGGTTGGTCTGGACCTGGACACAGTCCTTACAGTGTTTCCAGAGCACCCAGGTCTGGAAGAGAGAAGAGCTGGAGCCCAGAGCTGGTGCGGCGGGGCCCACGGGGAAAGGGTGCTGCACTGACGGTGTGTATTTACAGTGAATAAGACAACAAGGGGCTTGAGTGGGAATCCGGGCTCCACCTCTTCCCTTGCTGTGTGCTCTTGGGCCAGTGACAACTCTCAGTGCTTCAAAATGGAGGCCTAACACCTACTGCTTAGGGGAAGGCTGATTTGTTGCTGCATAAATAAAAATTATTATGCAAATGAAGCACCTAGCACAATGCCTGGCACCCAACTAGGGCTTAGGGGAGAGTGAGCTGTGTGTTTATTTGAGTATCTGCAACCATGTGTAGGTAGCGGTATTTAGAGGTGTCTGCCTTTCAGTCACAGGGTGTGTGCATGGACACGCAGTCATTCGAAGGGGGTACATGAAGACAGGCGCCTGACTGTGTGTGTAGGTGATGGGTGGGTGTACACAGGGACTGTAAGGTATAAACAGTTATCCAGCTACTTCTAGGGACAGGTAGGGGGTGTATGCACACGGCACGGATAGGCGTGTGCACACGGCACAGCACGCAGCACAGGTGGGTGGGCAGGCGTGTGCACGTGCTATGGTGAGCACGAGGCAAAGCAGGCAGGTGTGTGCAGTAGCCCAAGGAGGAGAGGTGTGTGCACGCGGCACAGGGAAGGGAGGCAGGCGTGTGCACACAACACAAGCACAGGGAGGGGAGGCATGCGCGCACGGCACTGTGAACAGGCACATGCACACGGCACAGCAGGCAGGCGTGTGCATGCGGCACGTGGACGGGAGGTGTGTATGCACGTGGCACAGTAGGCAGGTGTGTGCACATAGCACAGGGAGGGGAGGTGTGTATGCGTGTGGCACGGTGGGCAGGCATGTGCACACGGCACAGGGATGGCAGGCATGTGCACACGGCACAGGGAGGGGAGGTGGGTGTGCACACGGCACAGGAGGCAGGCGTGTGCACCAGCCCAAGGAGGAGAGGCGTGTGCATGCAGCACAGGGACGGAGGTGTGTATGCATATGGCACAGGGAGGGCAGGCGTGTGCATGAGGCACGTGGAGGGGAGGTGTGTATGCACGTGGCACAGTAGGCAGGTGTGTGCACACGGCACAGGGAGGGGAGGAGTGGATGCACGTGGCACGGTAGGCAGGCGTGTGCACACGGCACAGGGAGAGGAGGAGTGTATGCACA